TCAATGCTGTCATTTGAGTTATGGAGTAAAAACAGGTGTGTTAAATGCTGCTATAATTAACAATCCCTGATTCCCTTTCCCCTGGATTCTTCCATCCCCTCAGTGTTTTTTGACATACTCTTAAATTATCTTTGAAAAGACTTAAAAAACATTAAGTTCCTTCCTAATACCCACTTCTGCTTCTGGTTTTTATTTTGTTTTTACAATGTTGACTGTCAACATCTCTTGCCTTTGGATACTTATAATTAATACTTTGTCTTCTCTAATAACTATTCTCCATTTTGTCTTTCCAAAATTCATGTAGATGGTCTGTCCAAGGTCACACAGCTGGCTAGTGGAAGAGGCAGAGGAAAGACCGAGTTCCTCTAACTCGCTGTCCAGCGCTCTTCTGTATCTCTCTGTATTCAGAGAAAGTCCTTCAACTATCTTCTGAGGAAAAAATATATAATTCAGCATAATAAAACTATTAAGATGCCTTTTATGCCTAAACTATCTTTCTTTGAGTTTCTGAAAATGATCATTAAGTAACACAAAGATATGCTCCTTACCCTATAAAAGAAAGAATAAGAATAGTTAGGTTTTTCTACAGTTCTCCAAGTTTCAATTAAGTCCATACTGTTCTGTAAGATTTTGTCTATTAAACTTAGTAAAAAAAAAAAAAAACAAAAAAAGGGTTTTCTTGATAGATTAATTGCACATAAGTAAAATATACCATGAGTTCCTGGCTAGTGAAAATGGTTAATGCACACGGCTGCTAACTGAAAGGTTGGAGGTTGGAGTCCACTCACAGGCACCTTGGAAAACAGACCTGGTAATCTACTTCTGAAAAATCATCCATTGAAAACCCTGTGGAGCACAGGTCTACTCTGACACACATGGGGTCTCCATGAGTCACAATCGACTTGACAACAACTGGTTGGTTAAAATATACTAACAGAACTGCTTTTAATGATTGAAACATTCCAGTTAAAAAACAAAAACAAAAAAACTCATGTTGAAGCATTAAGACTGATACAATAATTCTACCAAAAGATTTTTTTTACAGGATTCTAGATCACAAACCCTTTTTTTTTTTTTTCCAATTTGTTCTTAAAGTGTCTGAATAGACTGAAGGAGTGACTCAGTTACATGGGAATCATCAGAGGCTTATTGCTTATTTCAGCCTTTAGTTAGATCCAGTAGCCAAGATATATCCACCTTGTCTAAGAGCTGTAAGAGCAACAGCAAAACATGTAAAAACTTCAATTAATTTAGTTCGAGGGTGTCCACTTTAACCACAATGGTGCCCAGGCCGTACAAACTCTTCTATTGACAAAAAACACTCACCACTTTTCAGCTGGTCACCTAAATTCTATGAAATCTTGCTCTTCCCTTTACACAGTACTTTCTGTTGCTGCGATTCTGTAATCTAACCACCACCCTTCTTACACCTAAAAAAGGGGAACTCCATGATTACTTAATATCTGTTAGAGAACTATCCATAGACATTCCAGAGACTCCCTTGAATAAATCTGATTTAATTGTGTTCATTAACGGTCCACAGTAAAAAAAAAAAAAAAAAAAAATGTTATCGCCAAGCTTGTTATACTACCACAGGCTTAAATTAACCCTTAAATTACAGGCTTCTCACAGAAATTAAATCAGTTCAGATGGTTGAATTAATTGCCCTCATCCAGACTTAGCAACTGATAAAAGACAATTATCTATATTGATATATGATTTTAGCTTAATCTATGGCTTTGAAATGCTTTAGAAACAAAGATATTTTATGACTTTGGAAGACATATAAAATAAATAGCAGATTAAAATTTTGAGATGCTTTGCCATTACCTAAGAAGACAGCATTAATAAAAATAAAGTTTAGCAAAAATACCGTCTTAGTCATCTAGTGCTGCGATAACAGAAATACCACAAGTGAATGGCTTTAACAAACAGAAGTTGATTCTTTCACAGTCTAGTAGGCTAGAAGTCGGAATTCAGGGTGCCACCTCCAGGGGAAGGCTTTCTCTCTCTGTTGGCTCTGGGGGAAGGTCCTTGTCATCAATCTTTCCTGGTTAAGGAGCTTCTCAGTGCAGGGACCCCAGGTCCAAATGACATGCTATTCTCCTGGCTCTTGTTTCTTGGTGGTACGAGGTCCGCATGTGTCTCTGCTTGCTTCTCTCTTTTAGCTCTTGTAAGATAACAGGTGATGCAGGCCACACCCTAGGGAAACTCCTTTTACATTGGATCAGGGATGTGACCTGAGTAAGGGTGTTACATCCCACTCTAATCCTCTTTAACATAACCCAGTCTTGCCTCATTAACCACAGGCAGAGATTAGGGTTTACAATACATAGGAAAAAATACATCAATCATGAAATGGAGAACAACCACACAGTACTGGGAATCATGGCCTAACCGATTTGCCATATATTTTTGGGGGACACTATTCAATCTATGACAAATACTTAATGATGGCAGCGATAGACTGGCTACAATAATGAGCCAATATTGACAGGGTAATTTTAAGAGATATTGATGTAGGTGTTTTCGATGCATTTCTTATCTGCCAATGATACAATTCTTGCAGGAATGTTAAAATAGAACATGGATGGGACCCAAAACCTTGAGGATACTTTAAAACCAAGAGCAAATTCAGTTGCTGTCAATTCGATTACTACTCATGGCGACCCCATATGTTGCAGAATAGAACTGTGCTCGATAGGGTTTTCAAGGCTGTGACCTTTAGGAAGCAGATCAACAGGCCCTTCTTCCAAGGCACCTGCCAACCTTTTGGTTAGTAGTCAAGTACTTACCTTTGGCACATTTTACTTGAGCTCCAACTAATAGGGTATTTTTTGTTTGTTTTTTACTCTCCATTGTCCTTCCCCCCAGTCCTTGGTAACCATTAATCTTTTGTCTCGATGAGTTTGCCTATTCCAGATATTTCATAAAAGTGGAATCATACAATATTTGACCTTTTGTGCCTGGCTTATTTCACTTAACATAATGTTTTCAAGGTTCATCTACGTGATGACGCGTGTCGGAACTTCAATTGTCTTTATAGCTGAATAATACTCCATTGTATATATATACCACATTTTATTTACCCATTCATCTACTGATAGGCACAAATACATGTAACAAAATGTTTTCCATTTTGACATTTTTTACATGTACAATTCAGTGATGCTATACATGTTCATCATGTTATGCAATCACCACCACTATCCATTTCCAAATTTTTCCATCACCCTTAACAGAAACTCAGTGTCTCATAGACAATGATTTCCCCTTTCCCTCTCCCTCTGCCCCTGGAAACCATTAATAAACTTTGGTCTCTATACACTTGCCCATTCTAGATATATCATATAAGTGGGACTATATAATATTTGTCCTTTGTGACTGACTTATTTCACTCAGCAGAATGTTTTCAAGATTCATCCTGTTACAGCTTGCATGAGGACTTCATTTCTCTTTTGGGGAGTAATATTCCAATGGGATCATTGGTGATTCAGTGGTAGAATTCTCACTAGTGGGAGACCGGGTTCGATTTTCCGGCCAATGCATATCATGCGCAGCCACCAACCGTCTGTCAATGGAGGCTTGCTTGTTGCTATGATGCAGAACAATTTTCAGTGGAGCTTCCAGATTAAGACGGACTAAGAAGAAAGACATGATGATCTACTTCCAAAAATCAGCCAGTGAAAATCCTAGGGATCACAATGGTCTGATCCACAACCGGTCATGAGGATGGTCCAGGACTGGGCAGGGTTTTTTTCTGTTGTTCACAAGGTCGCCATGAATCAGAGGCTGACTCAACGGCAGCTAACAACGACGACAATATTCCATTGTATGTCTGTACCACATTTTGTTTATCCATTCATCTATTGATGGAAGAGGAATGTCTGATTTTACAGGTTCGTCATGTATCTAAAAACCTGCTGAACTGTCATTCTAAAAGTTTGTTGATTTTGTTAGGTTTCCTAGATGATAATTTCATCTCAAAAATCAGTTTTGTCTCTTCTGATTTCAGTCCTTACATCTCTTACTATTTCTTGTTGTTGTTAGTCAGCTCCAGCTCACAGTGACTTTACGTATAACAGAATGAAACACTGCCTGGTCTTGAGCCATCCTCACAATCATTGCTCTCTGAATCCATTGTTGTAGCCGCTGTGTCAATCCATCTCATTGAAGGTCTCCTTTTCCAGCAATGGGTCCCTCTTGATGACATGTCCAAAGTAGGTGGAACGAAGTCTCTTCACCTTAGCTTCTAAGGAACATTCTGGCTGTGCTTTCTCCAAGGCTGATTTGTTTATTCTTCTGGCAGTCCATGATATATTTACTATTCTTCACCAATAACACTCTTGTACTATATTAAAACTAATAGTGATAGTGATTTTCCTTTAAATTTTGACTAGAAAGTCTTTTTAGAAAACCCAAAACCTAAAGATAGGAAATAAAATGTAAGTTATAATCCTCTCCTGTTAAAAGTGGATGACCTCTAAATGCCCCTCTTTTAAAAATATTTTTAAAAGTATAGAATAGTTTTGGAAAGAGGAAACTTTGTAGTCTCACTGGCCACCTAAGGAGTCCTGGTCCTGCAAACAGTTAAGTGCTTGACGGCTACCCGAAAAGTTGGCAGTTCAACACACTCAGGGGCTCCATGGGAAAAAGACCTGGAGATCTGTTTCTGTAAAGACTACAGCCAACAAAACCCTATAGGGCAGTTCCACTCTGTCATATAGAGTCGCTATGAATTGGAATCAACTTGACGGCACACAATAATTGGCCACCTGAGTGACCAGGAAGGCTTCTACCCAGGAAGAGTTGTGGGGGCTAATTGCGTGGTGCTGAGCTGTACTTGGAAAGAACTTTGGTTTTTACAGCATTTCCATGGAAACAGAAGTGACACTGATCCAGATATCTGGGTAAAGAAGCAGGCAAAGGAAAGAAGAGAGTCATGTGCAAGCAGCAGGAAGCCCCTCTTCTATATAGTCTGGTATTTATTAGTACTCTAATCATTGAAATCTAGAATCTACCATACTAGAGGGGTTCTGGAATTCCAGACTGTCTCTTAGACTGTCAGCTACGAAGCCTGTGTTTGTCATACTGGACCAGGTCTCCCCAGGAGATAGACCTACAGCTGGATCAGCAAAGATGCTGAGAGCAGGACCCCGTCTTTCCAGCTGGGGCCTTGTGGGTGAGAGATACTGATACAGACAGCTGAAGGAACAGATGGATGTCACATCCTCGTCAGGAAAACTATACAGTTCCATGATTTGGGCTATGTCATAGGCATCAGAGTATAAAGCAGGAACTGAAGCTACCAGCCTCTCTAACTGTGGCTCCTGCATTTGGACATCACTTGTGGGATTCCAGGTAAAGACAGAGTCCTGTGCCCAATTGGAAGCACCTAAGGGCTGGGGTGGAAGGGAGCTATAGCAATCTGAAACCATAGGAGAAAAAGAATAAGGATTGGTGGATGCCCTCGGTGAAGTGGACACATTCTTCTTGGCTGGAGTAATCTGCCTTGGTTTCTTTAGTGATTGCTGATGTTGCTGCTGCTGCTTCCTCATTTTAAAACGCTGATTCCTGAACCAAACCTGGAGGTGTGGGGGAAAGGAGAGATTGTGGTCTAGGAATTGGGAAGGAGTTTCCCTGGGTGAAAACAACCAGATTATATATAACCTTTATGTCCTCTCCAAGTCACCATAACACTGGGTTCTGAGACGGCAGAGGTAAACATGAGGGGATCAATAAGAGGGACAGTGAGGAGCAGGACTGAGACCCCATAGAAGGAAGAAGCAAAGAAAGGAGGTGTGTTTCAGAGGTTGTGCAGGCAGGTCAGGGGAAGGTTTCTGAACTCTGGGAAAGAGAAACTGGTTTAGAGATCGGGCGGGGGTGGGGGTGGGGGGGAGGTAGAGGTGGGAAATTTGAACCGAAGAATTTTCAAGGATTCTTTTAGAAGGTCTCTACTATAAGGAATACTCCAACAAAAACGTCATGGATCTTAGCTGACTCAGAGTTCAGGGACAGTTATTTGTCTGTTGGTAGTGTTGTGACTAAACAAACTGTAGGGTTTTGCTTGAGAATACTCTACATGAGAAGTCTATCTGCATGAAAGCCCTCCTGGTGTTTGAGCTCTACAGTCCGAGGGTTAAGAACAAGACCTCTAGAGTCCTAATTCTAGTTATATGACTTATCTTTGTGACCCTCTACTAGTCACTTTGCCTCTGGACCTCATTTTCCTCATCTTTTCAACTGGATGATAGTAAGGCCAAAATATTCAGCGTGTCTGGTTGGTTCACTAATAGCACACACTAGGTACTCAGTAAATGAAACGTCATTATTATTGGGGCAGGGAGGGAATTTCCAGGCAGAATAGAAGAATATGGTTGGGATGGGATACCAAGCACACTCCAGAGGATCAGACCTTCACTTTTGACTCCTGTACGTTGAACTTCAAAGCCAGTTCCATGCAGAGGTTTTTATCTGGGAACATGGTGTGGCTAAACAGAGCCTCCAACTCTTCATGCTGTTTGTGGGTGAATAAAGTACGTTCTTGACGCTTCCTCCAGATTGCTGTAGGGGAGAGATGGATCGGTGATGGTTACACTTACACTAGCCGCTCCCAAAAGACCACAGCTGAGAATCTCCCATGGTTTCCCTCCTTCCAGGCTTGGGATCCAGAGACATGGGTCCCAGGTTTTGACTCTGCATGACTGAGCCCTATGTGACAGCACTCTGTTATCAGTTTTCTGAGACTATGTCCCTCCCAGGAAATGAGTTAGCCCTTCAATTTTCTCCGTACCCAGTCTGTTTACTCTGGAAACTGGCTCTCCTGAGTTTCAGTTTTCCCTGCACTGAAAGCACAAGACCCCTTTTCTCTGCCATTCAGGAAAGTGGGCAGTAGCTTCCTTTTTCTTGTCTCCTTTTTCACATTTTATTTCTTCTGGAAATAGTGAAGAAACCCCATATATCTGCACCTGAGTATAATACTCTTCAAAATGGGTTTCCTCTCTTTACCTATGTATTCAAGAACCCAGCCCATCCCATCTGGAAAATGACTCTGTCCTCCAGGCTCTCTGGGCCTTTGTCTGCTCCTCCTGGAAAAGGGTCATAAGAAATGAGACATAACTAGATATATGGAGAAGCTTGAAAAATTATAGAATATATTTTTAAATGGCAATGGAAAGTGAAAGGAATTTTTGTCTAAGAAAGTACAATGACCAAAATTAGCTAAAATAAATAAATAAAAAGACTCACGGACCCTTAGTAGACTGATAACCACACAAAAACACAAGTAAGTTTCAGAATTCAAGAAAATGTAGCGCTAATCCTCCTGTTATGTACCCTACGTCACTAAAAGGAGGGAGGTCTCTTTGGTCTTACTTATTGAAGTCAAGGATCCTGAGGCTAAAATCAGGCAAGAATAACAAACACTGTAAAACAAAAGTACAGGCTAATGCCACTTATGGCCTGTTATGGATTGAATTTCATTCTCCCAAAATATGTGTTGGAATCCTAATTCTTATTCCTGTACATGTAGTACTGTTTGGAAATAAGGTTGTCTTTGTTATATTAATGAGGCTACACCAATGTAGGGTGTGTCCTAAACCTAATCACTTCTGAGTTATGAAAAAGAAGAGGTTAGACACAGATGAGAGCACATATTTGCAAAGACAGATGGCATGTGAGGATCACCAAAGAACCAAGGAAGTCTCTGGGGCTACTGACAAGGAGGGAATTGACATAGCCGAGATCCTGATTTGAACTTTTAGCCTTCAGAACTGTGAGAAAATAAATTTCTGTTCTTGAAAGCCCCCCAGTTGTGGTATTTCAGTTACTAGCGGCACCAGGAAACTGATATAGACAACTACCAATTACATCCTAGAAAAGTTCACATCCGTATAGCATACATTTCTTCCTGATGTAGATGTATACGTGCTGTGTCTCTTGTAAACCTTAACCTATTTTCTGTTAAATGTTCAGGAAATATGCTCAATGAGTCTATGATAGACAAGTTGCAACTAGGGAAATGTTTTAACTAGTAATCTTTGAAACATATATATCTAATAGTAGAAATTTCACTTATAAGGTTGCTTATAAATTTGGGACTTTTCTAGGAGTGTGATCTTGAACAAATTACTTAAACTCTCACCTGCAATTTCATCATGCATAAAAAGGGAATGCTGAGAGTATCTACTTCATAATAGGGTTTGTAAACATATTACATGAATATATTAATTTAATGCAATCTTACACACAAAATGCCACAATAATGAGTGGTACTACTAGATTACTGGAAACAGAACAACCAGAGTGGAAGTAATGAGAAAGCTGAACACATTGTGTAGAAATTGTTAAATGGGAGCCTAATTTGCTGTGTAAACTTTCACCAAAAGCACAATAAAATATTTTAATAAAAACAAAGAGCGACACATAGTACACACAACATAAATGTTTTCTTTTATTAATTTTATTATTTTAGAATATTTATCACTGAAAAGTATATCTATCTGTCTACTTAAGCTAATAAGTTGTATTTAACATAACCCAAAACCAAACCTGTTGCCGTCGAGTCAATTCCAACTCATAGTGGACCTATAGGGCAGAGTAGAACTGCTCCATAGGGTTTTTAAGGAGCAGCTGGTGGATTCAAACTGCCAACCTTGTGATTAACAGCTGAGCTCTTGCGCGACTAGGGCTCATATTTCTGATAAATAACCCACTGTCTATGACCCTACTAATCTTGTAGTAATTTTCTCAGCATATCAACTGCAAGTTAGGAAAATGTTATCAATAAAACATTTGAACGGTTTTGTAGAAAACAAAAATTTTAAAACTCATATTACTAATTATTATTTTGCTATATTATCTCATATAGGAAACAAAATTTTCTTTCAAACTCATAAAACTATAGTTTACATATGTATAATATATAAAGGGTAGGCTACAAAAACTATATTAAACCAATTTTAGTCACTCCCTCAGAGAAGACGGGGTGGAATGGAATTGATAGGCGTGATCATAAAATACTCTAGCTTTATCTCTATAATTTAATTTTTCACTAAATGAGACTAAGTTATGTATTTCTTCTGTGAATTACTTACAGTATAAAGTTGGAAGGAATGGCTGGAAGAAAACATGTTTATATGCTAACAGTTTTTTTTTGGTGGTGAAATTAATGGGTATTTGTTATAATATTCATTGTTCTCTTCTGTATTTTTAGAAATAAAATTTTATTAAGACAATCAACTATATTAACAGTTGTAGGAGAAAATCTTTATGATCATATAGAAAATGCTTAAAACTCAACACTCATTTCTGATAGAAATTTAAGCAAAGTAGGAATAGATGGCATTTTCTTAACCAAAAAAAAAGGTCTGATTCAAAAAGAATAAATAGTGAAGAAACATTAAAAGCATTGCTATTAAAGTAAATGAAAGGTAAAAATATTCTCTATCACAGGTACTAGTGTATCTAGCAAATGCAACAAATTATGAGTAAAAACTAGCTAGTATAACAAGGGAGCAAAAGTGTTATTATTTGCAAATATGTATATATATATACTTATCTCTGAAAAATCCATTCAAAAATATTGTAAAATTGTATAAAACAGTTTAACACATTGGAAGAATATAAATTTAAGATGCAACAATCAATAGCTGCTTTAAAATAAATATACAATTTAATGTTAACATTACATTTTGAAAGATCATATGTCCAATAACCTCAAAATATACAGAATGCTTAGGAATATACCTAAATGAAGTATGCAAGACCTATCTGAAATGAACTATAAAACTGTATTAAAGAGCATAAATGATCTGAATAAGTGGAAAACATAGTACATTATTGAAATAAATGACCAAATATTACAAAAATCTGTTTTTCCCCAAATGAGTGTATAATTTAATCCTAATCAGTATCAACAGAAATTTTTATGAAGTTTGACAAGCCAGTTCCCAAGTTGGGAAATTTCTTACTTCTTTCCTTCTTCCCTCCCTCCCTTCTTTCTTTCCTTTTAAAGAAACAGAATGGGCTAGTCCTACCATCTAACAAAACATACTCGAAATAGGTAACATATGAAATGCTGTCGTATTGGGGTCAGAAAAAGTTAATTTAGCACTGGAGTAAAATAGAAAATAAAAAAAGACACTAGCATAGATGGAAAGATGAAATTTCCAGTCAGTAGGAACAAAACAAGTGCACATTAATTTAGAACAAATTAACTCACAACATTGAAAAGCAATTACAGATGGATTCAACAGCTGATTTTTTTTCAAGTCTCTATTGAAATAATAGAGGAAAAAAACTCAGATAAATTGCGTCAGAGTAACTATTGGAACATATGTGAAAAAGAAAAGATTCATATCTCTATTTTACAAAGAATTTATATAAAACCAATAAGAAAAACAACTTTCATCATAAAATTGGGTCAAATGTATGAAAAAGTAATGTCTAAAAAGGAACGTAAAAATGACTCAAAAACCATAGCAAAAAATGCTCAACCAATAATCCATAATAAGTAAATTAATTCAATAATGAGTTATTTTTTCTCCCAAAACACTGGCAAAATTTTTTAATAAATCAAGTCCTATTTTTAATGTGGGGGAACATATACCATCATCTGTTATTAGTGGGACTGTAAGCTGGTGCAAGATTTGAGAGGAATTTGATGATATCTTTCATTTTTAATATACTTCATACCATTTAACCCAGAATATTTACTACGAGGAATTTAAAACATTCATCAACAGGAAATTCAGACTCATAGGGTCACTATGAGTCAGAATTGACTGGATGGCAATGGATTTGGTTTCTGGATTTATCAGTAGGAGACTGGTGAAATAATCTTTCATACGTCCACAGCTTGGAATAATCATATATTTTCTAAAAGGTAGACATTTATGTATAAACACAGAAAAATCTGTGTATAGATACACAGATACAGCGTTAAATGAAAAAAACACATATTACAGACTAATTCAGTAAAATTCAACTTATGTAAATACATCTCTGTGTACATTTATACACAATTACTCTATATACATTTATAGACTTGCTAATATAGCTAGAGAAACATGTAAAGTTTCAAGTGCTCATTCCTAGATGTGGGGAGGGAGGAGGAATTAAGAGTTGCTGTCTTAACGAGATGTTACATATTATTTGTGTATTGTTAAGCAGCATGCATTTATAATTTTAAGAATTGAGAATAATTTTAATGGGCTCTTTTTTCCCATTTACTCTGGGCCACGATATTTCTGTCTTGGAAAAGGAGCTTCTTTATTTCTATTTTCCCGTGCTTCATTTGGGAGCCCTGGTGGTGCAGTGGTTAAGATTTCAGCTGCTAACCAAAAGGTCAGCAGTTTGAATCCACCAGCTGCTCCTTGGAAACCCAATGGGGCAGTTCTACTCTGTCCTATACGGTTGCTATGGGTCGGAATCGACTCAACAGCAACAGGTTTGGTTTTGGTTTTTTTTTTGGTTATGCTTCAGTTGACCTCTCCTAGGAAAGCATCCTCACTCGCTCTGTATTTTGTGTTCTCAGCCTATCTATCATAATTTGGAGCAACCATGGGCCAAAGGCACTTGACCTTGATTTGAAATTTGTAACTTCCCATTTTATGATGTAGAGGATTTTTACAATAGGTTTTTGAATAGAAGAGACAATGATCAATAGTTGCTTAAATACAAAATGCAAATATAGGGTCCATGAGAAGGGGCAATAGCAGGAGGGGAAGGCCAAGGAGAGTAATACTCACTGGGATCAGCTGGATTCTGTGGTATCAAGTTCATGCTAGGATCATCCATGTTGACAAAAGGGTATGGCTTGGGATTTTCTGGGGCCATTCTGTTCATCAGGAGTTCTGAAATTTGGGATGAAAGGCCTGTGTGTGAGAGAGGACACTGTTGAGTCATTCATTCACTGGAAAGGAATGTTTCAAGGATTCTTGGTTTGCCATGCAACCTTAGGAAAGTGAGGTTAACTCCCTGAGCCTCTACCTCAGCTGGATAATGAGCCATATTTTCTAGCAGAGAAATACTCCAGATGTATTTGTCAAAAATGAAACTTTGGATATATTAAAAGAAATTATGAGTGAATATCTTTGTAACTGAGAGTAGGGAAATGTCTCTTTGAGGAGATTGTTGAAGCACAGTCTGTACATGGAAAGATGGAAACTTAAGACAATTAGACTAGATCAGATGGCCACGGATTTCTCATCAGAAACGTATGAGGACAGACAGTGGAACACAAATCTTTAAGGTGCTAAAGAAAAGAAGTGTCAACCCAGAATTCTATACCCGGGGAAAATATCCTTGAAGAATGAAGGTGGAAGGAAGACAATCTCAGATGAAGGAGAACTATGCGACTCCATGGCGAGTAGTCTTGTTCTCTGGAACTGCTAAAGGAAGTTTAGGCTAAAGGGAAAGGGAAATGATACAAGAGGGAAAATGAGAACTTTAGGAATGAAGGAAGAGCCACAGAAACGGCAAATATCTGTTTAATATGATAGACTAGTGTTCTCTTCTTAGGTTATTTAAAATATATATGAATATTGAAAGCAAAAATTATCACATTGCCTAGTGGCGTTTTGTTTTTACTTATAATTTTGAAATAATTAGATTCACTGAATGTTGCAAAAAAAATGTACAGAGAGGTCCTATGCACACCTTCACCCAGCCTTCCCCTATGGTAACATCTTGCATAAGTATCCACTGTCAAAACCTGGAAAATGGCAGTGGTACAATCCACACAGTTTATTCAGATTTTGCCAATGGCCTTGCATAACTTAGACTGCATGGTGGCCTAGGATGCTTCTACCCAAACTTCCCTCCCCTTAGCCATCACTAGTGGTCACGCTTGTTTTCTGACCTGATAGCTCCCACTGCCTCCCTTGACTGCCTCCAATTTTCTCCTCCAGGCATTTTCCGTAATGAAAATCCTTGCAGGTTTAATCCCATCTTGACATCAGCTTCTTGGAGGACCAGGAATAATACACTTTAGTTTTTGTGTATCAGTTAATCCATCCCGGAAAGTGGGATTCAACCTTAGCCAGAGGCATTTGCCATTTATTCGAGCATTGTACCTTCCCCTCTTAGAGAAGGAGGGCGGGGTGCCCCTAGGAGATGGGGGTCAGGCTGGAGGGAAGGCACAGAGTATTGTACTCACTGGGAACAACTTGGTCTTGTGGTATCATGTTCATGCTGGAATTACCCATGTGAATAAAAGAGTAGGGATGGGGATACCAAGGGGCTCCTCTGCTCATCTGGACACCAGAAGGCTGCATTGGTAGATCTGTGGAACAGGACAGGGTGGGTGAATAGTGATGAAGTCTTTCATTCATTGGGAAGCACTGTATTCAAGGCCACTGGATTCAAATCCCAGCTCACTCACATAGTATCTCTGAATTAAAAAACAAAGCAAAACAAAATGGAAGAGTGAATTTACCCTTTCCCTGTAAACAAAAAGAAAAAAAACCCCTTGCTTTCTAGTTGATCTTGACTCATGGTGACCCCATGCATTACAGAGTAGAACTGCTCCATAGGGTTTTCTTAGCTGTGATCTTTACAGAAGCAGATCAACAGGCCTTTCCTCTGCAGTGCCACTGGCCAGGTTCAAACCGCCAATTTTTAAGTTAGAAGTCCTGCACAAACCCTTTGTACCACCCAGGCAGCCCTTTTTACCCCCTCAGCCTCAGTTACCAAACAATATCATTAATATCATACACAAGGAAAATTTTGCTGAAAAGCATTGAGAACCAGTTGCAGCGGTATATCGGCAGGGAACTGCCAGAAATTCAGGCCGGATTCAGAAGAGGATGTGGAATCAGGGATATCATAGCTGATGTCAGATGGATCCTGGCTGAAAGCAGAGAATACCAGAAAGACGTATACCTGCGTTTTATTGATTATGCAAACGCATTCAACTGAGTGGATCATAACAAATTATGCATAACATTGTGAAGAATGGGAATTTCAGAACACTTAATTGTGCTCATGCAGAACCTGTACATAGACTAAGAGGCAGTTGTTCGAACAGAACAAGGGGATACTGCATGGTTTAAAGTCAGGAAAGGTATGTGTCAGGGTTGTATCCTTTCACTATGTTTATTCAATCTGTATGCCTAGCAAATAATCCAAGAAATTGGACAATATGAAGAATAGGGCATCAGGATTGGAGGAAGACTCATGAACAACTTGCAATATGCAGATGACACAACCTTGCTTGCAGAAAGTGAAGACGACTTGAAGCACTTACTGATGAAGAGCAAAGACTACAGCCTTCAGTATTGATTACACCTCAACATAAAGAAAACAAAAATCCTCACAACTGGACCAATAAGCAACATCATGATAAAAGGAGTAAAGTTTGAAGCTGTCAAGGATTTCATTTTACTTGGATCCACAGTCAACGCCCATGGAAGCAGCAGTCAAGAAATCAAATGATATATTGCATTGGGCAAATCTGCTGCAAAGGAGACCTCTTTAAAGTAATAAAAAGCAAAGATGTCACTCTGAGGACTAAGGTGCATCTGACCCAAGCCATGGTGTTTTCAATCGCCTTATATGCATGGGAAAGCAGGACAATGAATAAGGAAGACTGAAGAAGAATTGATGCCTTTGAATTGTGGTGTTGGTGAAGAATATTGACTATACCATGAACCTCCAGAAGAACAAACAAATCTATTTTGGAAGAAGTACAGCCAAAATGCTCCTTAGAAGTGAGGTTGGTGAGACTTCATCTCACATACTTTGGACACCTTATCGGGAGGGAACAGTCCCTGGAGAAGGACATCATGCTTATTAAAGTACAGGGTCGTCGAAAAATAGGAAGACCCTCAACGATGGATTGACTCAGTAGCTGCAACAAATGGGCTCAAACATACCAACGATTGTGAGGCTGGCGCAAGACCAGGCAGTGTTTTTTTCTGTTGTACATAGGGTCACTATGAGTCAGAACTGACTCAACCGGCACCTAACAACAACAACAAGCCTCAGTTATATCAGCTGAAAGATAATGGTTATAATCCCTACCTCAGAAGGCTGTAGTAAGGATTCACAGAGAGCCTGTCTATAAACCACAAAGTCTGATGGAATATAGTGCTCAAGGGATGGGATCTGCTGTTATTTAGAAAAGACATCCAACCCATGTAACTGTACCACTCAGAACCCTTCCATGACTCCTCAGCGTAGGATGGAATAGGTCTCAAATCCTTGCTGAGTCTGGCCTAGGGAGCTTACAATAATAGGCAGTACTGCCCTTAGGAGAAGCCCAGGTGATACAGTGGTTAAGCACTCAGCTGCTGACAAAAAGGTTGGTGGTTCGAACCCACCAGCTGCTCTGCAGAAGAAAGATGGGTCAGTCTGCTTCCATAAAGATTTATAGCCTTGAAAACAATATGGGGCAGTTCTACTCTCTAGAGTCACTGTCAGTCGGAATTGACTCCACGGCAACGGGACGGGACTGCCCTTAGACCTGGGCAAACGTGGCCTTTGTCTTGAGTCCCTTCATTTAGTTCAGTGCCTTTCAAACTTTAAGAAGTACACAAATCACCTAGGGATCTGGTTAAAAATACAGATTCTGATTCAGCATGTCTGGGGTTGGGCATTTCTAGATCCTGCATGCTAATATTGCTGGTCTGCGAACAAGACTTTGAGTAGCACAGTGTGCTCTGAGGTCCTTAGGGGTGCCTGAGGTCCTTTCAGGGTTACCTAAGGTCAAAGTTATTTTCATAATAATACTAAGATGTTATTTTACTTTTTCACTCTCCGTCTATCACGAGTGTACAGTGGAATACATTTAGAAGATCTTCATAACTCAATAAACCAATATTTTACAAACAACCAGTGCATGATGTTACAAAATCATCTGTGGGTAAAAGACCCACTCAAAGTGCAATGTAGGAAAAATAGATTTTAATGCAACAGAAAATGAGAAGTTCATTGATATAATTTGAAATATCACATCACAACAAATCTTTAAGAAATTACCACTTGTTGAGTTTGTGTTATAATTTCAAAGAATATTAACAAAAACAATATATCACAAAAGAGTGAATGCAGAAGCAGATGAGAGTTCTGCTGTCTTCTATAGTAACTTCCAGACAAACTTAGTATAATATAAAATAATGCCATTTTTTCTCACCAATTTTTTGGAAAAATATAGTTAACGTAATGGGTTTATCATTTTATTTTTAAATGAATTGATACATTTATTTTTTAATTTCTAATGAGGTAATTATCTATAGATATAACCCATATAAACCAAAGTTCTTTGGGGTCTTCAATAATTGTTAAGAATATAAAGAAGTTCTGAGATCAGAAATTTGAGAAGCAACAACAGGGGATGGGCCAGGGCCTGGCATTTAATTGAAGAGAAATTAAACTTAGCTAAGCATCTGCTTTTCAATAGAACCCTCACAGTAAATGTAATAAAATGATGCAGTAAAACATACAATGTTCGAATATTGTGTAATATAATAATAATATATAAACTAGCCTTTGGAAATCCGTTCCAGGTGTTAGGCATTTAAGTGCTTCATATATGATTCATTTGATCTTCTCAACAAACACATGGGCTAAAGTACAATTGTTATCAACCTCTTATAGATGAAGAGAAGTAAGGTCCTAAGTTTGGGCAGCTAGAGAGTAATATAACTGGAAATGAATCAGGTCTCACTAGTTCCTAAATACACAATCTAAGCCAGTTGAATTAATTAAGTCCAGCTGAATTAATTAAGTCCAGTTGAATTGTTTGCTTTTTTTTTTTTTTTAATATGGTAGACTCTCAATGCCCTTCCTGAGAAAGTGGGCATTGAGAGTCTAGCATATTAAACAAACAAGCAAACAATTCAACT